TGCGTTGCCTGGGGACCTCAAGAGACAGCTCTCAATTGGGTCGGATGCGAGTGGGAATCCTCGCCCTCATGTTGCTCCTTGTCTGCCTCATGCTCCTGAGGAGCCTCCTGATGCAGTTGGCGTGCCTGTACCAGACAGCGATGTGGACACCGATATCGATGATGAAGATCTGTTCTGGGGTTTTGTCTTCATGGAGAAAGCTTCTCCGTCCGCAGCTCACGTATATTTTGGCGGCCAAATTCCAGCTGTTGAGCTCACGTCCGAAGACATCGAGGGGCCTATCAGCATTGAGTTCTCTCGGAGACAAGCCTGGCGGCTGGGGCTCGCTCCGGACAAGATCGCCAAGGGTCAAGTATTGGTGATGAATATATTCAAGACCCAGGCTTCGCCAGTTATCGAGCGTGATCTTAACAACCTGTCTGCGGCAGAGATTAGGCAACATCATGATCTGGTGGTTGCAGCAAAGTTGAAGGAGCTGAAGCGTTGGGATTCTCGTGGCGTCGTAGAGCGTATGCCCAAGAAGGATGCTGATAATCGAATCGACTCTCGCTGGGTCATCAAGTGGAAGATCATCGAGGGCAGCCGCGACGTGAAGGGGCGCTTGACCGTGCGTGGCTTCAAAGATCGGCAGAAGAACGAGAAGGATCGCATGAGGACCGCCGCGGGCACTGCCTCCCGTTGGGGGCAGAGGGTGATATGCTCCATCGCGGCTCAGCATGGCTGGACTCTATGGTCGCTCGACGTCTCGATGGCGTTCTTGCGTGGCAAGACGTTCGAGGAGCTAGCTGAAAGGTTCGGTTTCAAGATGAGGAGCTTGCAGTTTGATCTTCCCCCTGATGGTGCAGCTCTGCTGAAGCAGATTGAGGGTTTCGAGGACTTCAATGAGGTTACGGAAACCCTGAACATGAAGAAGCCAGGTTTCGGTACGAATGACGCTCCGTGGGCCTGGCAAGTAGACTTGTCGGACACGCTCAGGGAGTTGGGTTTCTTCCCAACCGAAGCTGACCGGCAGTTGTGGTTGATGTTTGACAATGCATTGTTGGTCGCAGTTCTTGGTACGCATGTGGATGACTTGAAAGGTGCTTGCAGTGATGAGACGCGTGAGTGGATATTCGCTAAATTTCGTGAGAAGTACGAAGACGTGACGGTGAATCTGGCTCCGTTCGAATGTGTAGGCATTCAACATTCTCAGGATGAGGTGAGCAAAGCCATCACGATTGACCAGAATCACTACGTCTCCCAACTTCGTCCGATCAGCAGCGCGTTACTTACTGGCAAATCGGATGAAGAATTGGTGGATTGTACGCTGCAGGGCCTGTACTGGAGTCTTCTTGGAGGAGTGGCGTGGCTCACCCTCACGCGTGCTGATATCGCTGTATTCGTCGGTCGTTTTCAGAGGCACAGCCAGAAAGTTACGGTTGGTGATATCAAAGGTCTCAATACTCTTCTGAAGTGGATCAAGAGGAAGCCTTTCAGCATCAAGTATGCGCGGTTGGAACCGCCTCTGTGTCTCTGTGTGATAGCAGACTCTGCTTATCGTGCTGATGATGCTGACTGTCTAGCTGTGCGTGCTGCCATCTTAGTACTCATTGAGCTTCGAGATGGTATTCCTGGTGGACTAATGCATGTCATTGATTACTATAGTCGGAAGCAGCCGAGAGTCACTCGCAGTACGTTTGGGGCCGAGCTGACTAACCAGTTGGAGGCTTGTGAGCTCGGCATGCTGCACCGCGGTTTCTGGCATCAAGTTCTGACGGGGTCCCGTGGTGCGAAGGAGTTGCATGATGCGGTGAACTCGAATAAGATAGATATGAGTCTGTATTTAGTTGGGGACGCTCACGCCGTGTTTGCTGCTATCACTGCTGAGGAGATTGCTATGCCCAACGATCGCAGTCAACTGTATGCTGTACGGGCCATGCGTGATCGACTTGACTGTGGCTCGCTAACTGGATTACTGCGTTGTGATACGAGAGATATGCTGTGTGATGCCCTTACCAAGGGGGCAGTTGCTCGAGGTGCTATTGTTGATGCGTTCGGCACTGGACAGTGGCGGATGATGATCAAGGACCAGGTTCATATCTGGCCGAATGTTTCGTCTGCTGCTTCATTTACCACTGTGAGTTGTTGATGAGGGATCTTTTGTCATAGTTATCTTTTGTGAGCCTAGCCGCGTGGACACATTTGCGGTGGGCTTCACGGTGAGTGCTGCAGTGCGCTGTTGCCTGTGTAGGCTTGTCAGCTTGCCTCTTCGAGGTCGGCTGAAGTCTGCGTGGTCCAGCTTGGACTACTAAGTTGATTTTGGGGTGATGCTGTGATTGCTCGTGGACGACCGCTCTGGTATCACGTCTGCGAGCATGGTGCTTCTCCGACGATACTTGCGAGTTGGAGATGGTGCCAGAGTCAAAGTGTATATGCAGCGTCCCCCTCGAGCCTTTCCGTTCCGTTGCCGCCTTGGCTCAAGGCGGCCAGCCAGTGCTTTCTCTTTTGTACTGATGAGGATATTGGCGCCGCTGCGCCCGGTGGAAAAGGTTATTTTCCTTGCTGCTGCTGCGTGGCTGACGCCGATCCGCTCATTCGACCCAGGGGGCCGCTTCGAGGCCCGTCTGGAGGGTACCAAAGCCCCAGATCCCAGGAGTGCGGGCGTTCCCCCCGCCGGGGCTTTTAGAAATATAGGAAGAGGAATGTGTATATATATATACACATACACGCATATCTATATATTTATATATATATATATAGATATATGTGTGCGGTGAGTCGGTGGGGATTCGGGGTCACCCCACGGTTTTGGGACTCGGAGCGTTCTCCGAGGATGTCTCGGGCGACAGGGGCATCCAGGGTCTCAAGACCGTGCGGTGACGGACCGTGCGGTGAGGTCTTGGGGGATTTCGAGGTCACCGCACGGTTTGTCACCGCACCGTTTCAACTTGGGGGCGGGATGGTGGGGCTGAGAAGCCATGGTCAAATGTCGGCAGCGAGCCGGGAGGAGAGAGGAGAAGGAGAAGGCCTTCTCAGAAGGCGGCGGGACTTCTCAGAAGCCATCAAGCCTTCTCAGAAGGCTGGGAAACTTCCGAGCCTTCTTAGAAGGCCTTTTTCTTCTCACTTCCCCCCCTCGCTCGCCGCCGATCTGATTTGTGGCCAAATGATTGAGGAAGGAAGAGACGCCGTGGACTCAGACCGAGGCTCGAGGTTCGAGGCTTTCGGTCGCTTGTCACGGATCTCGGCGGTTTTCCAGCCTCGGGCGACCCAGAGGCGGTTGATGTTGAATGATTTGGCGTTCGGAAGTGCCCAATTGTTTGAGGTTGAACGAGCCCCGCGGTGACAAAAACCAGCGCCAGAGTCGTCGGCACGACTCGGACATGCGGTTACCGCTGCTCGTCACGGAGGCTCGAGGATCGAGGCATTCTTGTGTTCTCGTCGGATCTCTGCGGTTTTCCAGCCCCTCACCACCCACCAAACCACTCCAACCCAACCCGAAGGCCCAACTTGACCCTCGATTTCCAGTGGGGGGTGGGGTTGGGGTGGTCTGGCAGGTAGGCAGCCTCGGGATGCCCTCCGCCGGCTGCGCCTCGCCGAGAGTGTCTTCGGGGTGTCCACATCGTCCCCAGCGGCCGCCGCAGAGCCGAGTCATGATGATTATCCGAAAGCCAGGAGACAACGTCCGGGGGAGGAAAAGGCACACTGCTCGCCACGGAGGGCCCTCGTCGCCACAACTGCACTCTCCTCGGAATCCTGGCCAGAGCGCACCCCGGGAGAGGTCTAGGGAAGTAGCATTACAATCAACCCGCATAGTAAGGATGGTTAACCTTCCCAAGGGAACTTTTGCATCCTTGCCTCCTCGGTCCATCCTTGGCCACCTTCGTTGGCCGCGCCCCGCTCGAAAAGTTTCGAAGTGGGCTCCCCATGCCCTCGCATCCTTATCGAGCATCCTTACTAGACGGGTTGACTGTGTCGCTATTTGTTGTCGGTGCGATCGCAATGAGTACAGGAACAATTGGGTCGGATACCAGCAGCAGTCTTTGTCCATCTTGACAAAGGTTCCTTGTCGGCGTCGCCGCGGACGTTGCAGCGGCGGCCGATGCCGCTTCTGGACAACATGTGCTCTTTGTGCGTCGTTCGTGCCTCGTGCCAGCCGCTAGTCGGCCGCCGTAGGGATATCGTTTCTCGTTCTTCCCATTCTCTCTCTTTCTTTCTTTCTCTCTCTCTCTCTCTCTCTCTCTCCTCTCTCTCCTGTCCCTTGTCTTCCTCCTCGGCCTGCTTCAGCATGATGGGATTCCCTGCAGTTCAGGAGCTACGAAGTTTCATCCTTGGGTACGCTGTTGTCGGGGAAACGTAAGACTCGAGTCAGCCGGAACTCGGGTTTGCCAACGTTTTTTGACGAGCGCGTTCTGGATTTTGACGGTCCGATTTTCGTAGGACGTTTGCAGCGGGAGTTCGCGTCGAATGTCAGATTGGACCTCGTCATTTACGTGATGGCCCCGTCGGGCCAACCCGAGTCCTCCGTACACGAGTTTTACGTCTCCCCGACGTTGGTCGGTTGACCCACTAGGGGGTCCAGCGACAAGGGGGTGGTGCAATAGATTTGGTGCCGTAGTTTGTGGGGTTGCAATACAATTGGGGCGTGCAATACATTCTGGGGCGCAGATGTATGGCTGGATCTTCGTGTGCAATACATCACTTGCAATACAATGCAAGACACTTCCCCAGCGCAGAACATGTGCAACACGACTGTCCCAAAACTATTGTACCACCCCCTTCCAGCTGGACCCCCTCTTGGGCCAACCAAAGCTGGGCCTCGTGCCCACTCTTCGCCTGGCCCGCTCCGGACATGCGCCCAGGAGGGGGGTAAGGGAGGAAGGAGGAGGAGGAGGAGGAGGAGCAGCAGGAGGAGCAGCAGGAGGAGGAGGAGGAGGAGCAGCAGGAGGAGCAGCAGGAGGAGCAGGAGGAGCAGCAGGAGGAGGAGGAGTCTCACCTTGCCCGCCCTGGGCACGTGCCACGAGGACCTCCCGGCGGCCCCCGCGCCTGGCGGGGTGGCCTCCCTGGGGGCGCCGGCGGCGAGCTCGCTGCTGCGGGAGGCCCTCGCCCGGGCCCCTGGCCCGGAGAAGGGCGAGGCCACGGGGCGTGAAAGCGACCACAGCCCTCCTCCCTCCTCCCTCCTCCCTCCTCCCTCCTTCTCCTCCTCCTCCTCCTCCTCCTCCTCCTCCTCCTCCTCCTCCTCCTCCTCCCTCCTCCTCCCTCCTCCTCCCTCCTCCTCCTCCTCCCTCCTCCTTTTCCGGCCTCACGGAGGCCGAGGCCTGCGCCCTGGGCGGGGCCGGGGACGCGGAGCTTTGACGACCCCGCCATGCAGCCAGCAGGAACAAAGCAGTGGTTGTGGTCATTTTCGTTAAGCCTGGCACCAGGGAAATGGCCACGGCCACTGCTTCTTTTTCGGCCCGCTCGAAGGTGGCGCAAACAAGAAGCAGTGGCTGTGGTTATTTTCCAGTCCCGCAGAGGCACTGATACCGCTGCTCGGAGAAGAGTGAATGGGAACTGGGACACACACAAATAGATAGACACAAATGACCAGATTCCCCATGTTTTCTGGGTTTCTGTCTTCCCCCCCACACTTCCCATGTTTTCCCACGTTTTCTGGGGAATCGACGATTCACTGTGTCTGTGTGTCTTTTCCCCTTCTGAAAGAGAAAACGCCATAAGCAAGAAAACTGTTGGCGCTCCGCGCGGACCTCTTGGATCTGCGCTGGGGCCCCCCTGGCGGCGCCTCCGGCGCCGCCCCTGGCGCGGCCTCCGCGCAGATCCAAGAGGCCCGCGCGGAGCGCCGCTACTCGTAAGGCAGGCATGTCCCATTCCAGGAGGAATGTTCACAAATAGTCGAAACATAGTCTGGGGAGGATTTTTCTAGGATGTCTGAACTATTTTTGAATTTGTTGGGGCGATCTTATTAATTTTTTCTGCCCAAATCCTCGGGGACATGCCCGACATAACGCTACTCGGAGAAGAAAAAAGGCCGTAAACATATTTTTGTTCCCCCTGGCGGCGCCTCCGGCTCCGCCGCTGGCGCGCTCCGCGCGCCAGGCAGGGGGGTCCGGCGCAGATCCAAGAGGGCCGCGCGGAGCGCCACAAGTTTAGGTTTATGGTATTTGTTTTCCGTCCAGCCATCCCTCCCTCTTGTCTCGCCTCTTTCTGGACGGCCTGGGGGGGCCCTCGTCGCCACCCCTGGACTCGCCTCGAGAAGTGCTGGTGCGAGCGCATCCCCAGAGAGAGAGGTCCGGGGAGCAGCGGTGTCCGTACATGGTGATTTCCGCACTGGCGGCGCAGAGCAAGGTCCGCTGCGTGAAACAAAACAAACAAACAAACAAACAAACAAACAAACAATCAGCTTGGCGAACGACCCAACAGTATGCAGTTGTGGGCACCGTCGTTGTATTCACCGCATTCGGTGGAGCTCCCTGTTGGGCCACGAAACGTGTGAGGAGTGTGCCAAACGGGCGCATGTGGGCGCATGCGAGCGCTGGCATTGGAGCATTCGGTGGAGCCCCCTATGGGGCCACGAAAACGGTGAGGGGTATGCCGAGATGGGCGCCGTGGGCGCATGCGAGCGCTGGCATTTGGGCTTTCGGTGGAGCTTCCTATGGGGGCCACGAAGCGTGTGAGGGGTGTGCCAAAAAAGGTGTGGTGGGCGCATGCGAGCGCTGGCGTGTAGGCGTTCGGTGGAGCTCCCTATGGGGCTAGGACAGGTATGAGGGGTGTGCCAAAACTGGCGCGTTGGGTGCATATGAGCGCTGGCACTTGGGTATTCGGTTGAGTTCCGTATGGGGCCACGAAACGGTGAGGGTATGCCAAAATGGGCGCCGTGGGCGCATAAGAGCGCTGGCATTTGGGCGGGGACACGAAACGTGTGAGGGTAGTGCCGACATTGGCGTGGGAGGCATGTGGACGCAGCCACTGGGGCCTTCGGTGGAGCTCCCTATGGGGCCACGAACCGTGTGAGGGGTGTGCCGAAATGTGCGCGGCTGCATGTGGACGTAGCCACTGGGGCGTTCGGTGGAGCTCCCTATGGGTCCACGAACCGTGTGAGGGGCTGTGCCGACATGGGCTCGGGACGCATGTGGACGCAGCCATTGGGGCCTTCAGTGGAGCTCCCTATGAGGCCACGAACCGTGTGAGGGCTGTGCCGAAACGGGCGCGGGACGCATGCGGACTCAGCCATTGGGGTTTTCGGTGGAGTTCCTTGTGGGGCCGCGAACCGTGTGAGGGGTGTGCCGACACGGGCGCTGGACGCATGTGGACGCAGCCATTGGGGCCTTCGGTGGAGCTCCCTATGGGGCCACGAACCGTGTGATAGGTGTGCCGAAATTGGCGTGGGACGCATGTGGACATAGCCACTGGGGCGTTCGGTGGAGCTCCGTGAGGGTCCACGACCCGCGTGAGGGGTGTGCCAGCATGGGCGTTTGACGCATGCGGACGCAGCCATTGGGGCCTTCGGTGGAGCTCCCCATGGGGCCACGAACCGTGTGAGGGGTGTGCCGACATGGGTGCGGGACGCATATGGACGCAGCCATTGGGGCTTTCGGTGGAGCTCCCTATGGGGTCACGAAACGTGTGAGGGGTGCCCCGAGATGGGTCATGATGGTGATGTTGCTGATGATGAGAATGATGCTGATGATGATGATGATGATGATGATGATGATGATTATGATGATGATGATGGTTGTGACGGTGATATTGTTGGTGATGGTGATGGTGATGGTGATGATGACGACGACGATGATGGTGATGATGATGACGGTGACGGTGATGATCATGATGATGATGATGATGATGATGATAATGATGATGATGATGGTGTTGATGTTGATGATGATGATGATGATGATGATGATGATGATGATGCTGATGATGATGATGATGATAATGATGATGATGAAAATTATGATGAGGATGATGAGGGTGATGCTGATGTTGATGCTGATGCTGGTACTGATGCTGATGTTGATGGTGCTGATGATGGTGATGGTGGTGATGATGATGGTGATGAAGACGATGACGATGACGATGACGACGACGAAGACACGCGGAGGGCAGATGCAGGGATAGAAGGGGAGGACAGAGGATGTGGAGGAGGAGGTGTGAGGAGGAACGCGGGGCGCTGTCTCTTCAACACGGGGACCCAAAACCATAGGATTGGTGGGGGAAAACAAGAAAGGGCAGCTGCGTGAAGCAAGCGGGTCCACGGGGAAACGGGCCCTCAAAATTCCAGGCGTCGTGTGTGGGGTCCGAGTCGATGGCGTCGAAGGATCGCTCCGCCTCGACGGTGCATTACAGACGTCGCCGAGGCATGGCCGATGCATCGGCGATGCGGCGCGATCCTCCGACCCGACCTTCGGCGGCGAGCGAGGGGGGGAAGTGAGAAGGAGAAGGCCTTCTCAGGCGGTTCGGAATTCCCCCGGCCTTCTAAGGAGTTGTCTAAGCTTTCCCCGAAGACAAAACGCACTTCTCAGAAGGCGCGAGGGCTTCTGAGAAGTCCCGCCGCCTTCTGAGAAGGCCTTCTCCTTCTCGCTTCCCCCGACGAAAAATAAAACATACCCTAGAAGTACCCCAAAAAGGTCAAACAATACTTAAAACATAGTCCCCCGACTATTTTTAGACTATTATTTCACTATGTTTAGGGTATTTTCATTCTTCGTCGAAATCCCCCTGTAGGGGGACAGGCCCGACTTAAACCTACTCCCCACTCGGACCCCACCTAGGAGGCCTCCAAAGATGTCCTCCGTCGTCGGGCTCCCGGGGCCCTCCACAGGTCCCGCTGGGATCGGCGAGAGGGGTGCGGAGTGGACGGGGGGTGATTTCTGGCAGCGGCTGCCAAGGTGGACTGCATTTACCCGAACCTAGCTCTAAGTTGGGCCTGTGCCTTTACATGAGGAATGCTCAAAGACAGTAAAAAAATAATCGGGGGACGTTTTTCTTGTATGTTCTACTTTTGAAGATTTGTTGAGTATCTTTTGTTTGTCCTCCAAAGCCTGCCTGTAGGAGGACACGCCCGACCGAAACCCAGCTCATAAGCGGGCCATGAAGGCCCCAGGTGGCTTCGGGGGTGGTACGTACCTCCGCGGAGTGGGCGGTAGGTACCTCCGCGGAGTGGGCGGGGCCCGCTTGGCTTGGACCGTTGGCCACCAGTGGGGGCGGCGCAATAAGGGGGGTCGTTTTGAGCAGGCGTGGGGATGGGCCTCCTGGAAGGCAGGAGCTCCCGGGGAGCCTCCCTGGAAGCGCCGAGGGGGCCCAGCCCCCCGGCGGCAGGACACTTCGCATGCCGTGGACCCCCGGAGTCAGGAGGGAAAGACACACACACACACAGACACAATGAGTCGTCGACTCCTAGGAAGATATGGGAAAATATGGGAAGTGCGGGGGGGAAGACAAACACCCAGAAACTGTGAGAAAGTAGGGGGGATCCTGTATTTGTGTATATTTATCTGCGTGTCCCAGGGCCCCTTCACAGAGGCGCTGGCCCGTTCCCCGTGGGGCCGGCGCCCCGTGCCGAGCTGTGCTGGCTGCGGTCTCCCAGGCACGCCCGGGGCCCTCTGGAGGCTCGGGGGCGGCCAGGAGGGGGAACCTCCTCCCTCCTCCTCCTCCTCCTCCTCCTCCTCCTCCTCCTCCTCCTCCTCCTCCTCCTCCCTCCTCCTCCTCCTCCTCCTCCTCCTCCTCCTCCTCCTCCCTCCTCCTCCTCCCTCCTCCCTCCTCCCTCCTCCCTCCCTCCTCCTCCTCCTCCTCCCCTCCTCCTCCTCCTCCTCCTCCTCCTCCTCCTCCTCCTCCTCCTCCTCCTCCTCCTCCTCCTCCTCCCCCTCGGGCCTCCTCCCCCTCGGGGGGGTGGATATCATTTTAGACGCCTGAAATGGGCACGGAAAGAATGGGTACGATGCCCAACAACAAAGGTTGTCCCAAACCAGCAGCGGCCGCTGTTGGGCAGGCGGCCTTCTGTCTCAAATGGACAGAGGCCGCGGCGACACCGACAGCGAGTCCAGTTCAGAATGAACAGGGACTGCTGTTGGGCATTGTACCCATTCTTTCCGTATCCATTTCGGGCGTCCAAAATCATGGCGTGGGCCATGATATTCCCCCAGATTTCATGACGCCGGTTTTTATTTAATTGCGTCCCTGTCCCCCCCTTGGGCCGCGCACAGGCCGCCGGCCACGAGCTCCCCCCTCCTCTTGGGCGCCCCCCTCTTGGCCGCCCCTGGAAGCCAACGAGCGCGAAGCGTGCGGAGGTTCTGGGAAGGAGGCCATTTGCCTTCTGCGCAGCCCTTGCCCTGCCTTGATGGGCCGCCTTTCTCGCGCTACCCCCCTTCTGCGCGCCGCCGAACATCGTCGTCGTCATCGTCGTCGTCGTCGGCGGCGTCGTCGTGGTCGTCGTCGTCGTCGTCGCCGTCGCCGTCGTCGTCGTCGTGGTCGTCGAGGTCGAGGTCGAGGTCGTCGAGGTCGTCGAGGTCGAGGTCGCCGAGGTCGTCGAGGTCGTGCCCTCTGTGTGCTGCGCCGCCGCCAGGCGGGGCAGGCCCCCGAGCCCGCCGCGGCGCTGGCGGCGCTGGAGGCGCTGGAGGCGACGCTCCTGGAGCTGTCCGAGGATCGGCGGCGCGCCCCGGGGAGGGGTTCCCCGCGGTGCCTGGTGCCCACTGGGAGGCGCCAACGTTCGACCCCACGCAGGAGCGATCTTTCGCCCAGGTTCGGCGGCGAGCAAAGGGGGGGGAAGTGAGAAGGAGAACGCCTCCTCAGAAGGCGGCGGGGCTTCTCAGAAGCCCCCTCGCGCCTTCTGGGAAGTTGTCTGTGGCTTCGGGGAAGGCTTGGACAACTTCTCAGAAGGCCCGGGGGCTTCCGAGCCTTCTGAGAAGGCCCGCCCCTTCTCACTTCCCCCCCCTCGTTCGCCGTCTACAGGAGTGGTCTTTCGCCCAGGTTGCCTCTGGTGCGGGCCCACTGGGGCCGCCCGATCGCCGAACGCGGTGCGATAATTAGTGGCGTCTTGCGCGCCTGTGTTTGGTCCCCCCGTGGCCCCCCCAGGAGCCGCGCACCAGAGGTCACTCTCACCCAGGGTTAAGTCGGGCCTGTCCCCCTACAGGGGGATTGTTTACGAATTATCCCGGCAAAGCAACCTAACAGCGATGTGTAGGAGCATATCTGGAAGCATCCCCCTTAAGATTCAGATGATAATCCAGTTGTAGAGTTCTGCTGTTCTCGCAGTCGTAGTCGCATTCGCGATGACAGTCGCAGTGGCCTGCATTAGCCTCAGCCTCAGCCTCAGCCTGCCTCAGCATCAGCCTCAGCCTCAGCTTCAGCCTGCCTCAGCCTCAGCCTCAGCCTGCTCCTGCATCAGCCTCAGTCTGCCTGCAGCCTCGGCCTCAGCCTCAGCCTGCCTCAGCCTGCCTGCAGCCTCAGCCTCAGCCTCAGCCTGCCTCAGCATCAGCCTGCCTCAGCCTCAGCCTCAGCCTGCCTCAGCCTCAGCCTCAGCCTGCTTCAGCCTCAGCCTCAGTCTGCCTTCAGCCTCGGCCTCAGCCTCAGCCTGCCTCAGCCTCAGCCTGCATCAGCCTCAGCCTCAGCCTCAGCCTGCCTCAGCATCAGCCTGCCTCAGCCTCAGCCTGCCTCTGCCTCAGCCTCAGCCTGCTTCAGCCTCAGCCTCAGTCTGCCTTCAGCCTCGGCCTCAGCCTCAGCCTGCCTCAGCCTCAGCCTGCATCAGCCTCAGCCTCAGCCTCAGCCTGCCTCAGCATCAGCCTGCCTCAGCCTCAGCCTCAGCCTGCCTCAGCCTCAGCCTCAGCCTGCTTCAGCCTCAGCCTCAGTCTGCCTTCAGCCTCGGCCTCAGCCTCAGCCTGCCTCAGCCTCAGCCTGCATCAGCCTCAGCCTCAGCCTCAGCCTGCCTCAGCATCAGCCTGCCTCAGCCTCAGCCTCAGCCTGCCTCTGCCTCAGCCTCAGCCTGCTTCAGCCTCAGCCTCAATCTGCCTTCAGCCTCGGCTTCAGCCTCTCAGCCTGCCTCTGCCTCAGCCTGCCTCAGCCTCAGCCTCAGCCTCAGCCTGCCTCAGCCTCAGCCTTCAGCCTCAGCCCAGTCTGCCTCAGCCTCCCTCAGCCTCGGCCTCAGCCTGCCTCAGCCTCAGCCTCAGCCTGCAGGCCTCAGCCTCAGCCTGCCTCAGCCTCAGCCTCAGTCTGCCTTCAGCCTCGGCAGCCAGCCTCAGCCTGGCTCAGCTGCCTCAGCCTCAGCCTCAGCCTGCATCAGCCTCAGCCTCAGGCCTTCAGGCCTCAGCCTCAGCCTGCCTCAGCCTGCCTCAGCCTCAGCATCAGCCTGCCTCAGCATTCAAAATGTGGCCAGGGAATGGAATTCTGGGAACTCGAAGAACACGAAGTGGCCTACAGTTTGCTCCGGGCATTAAAAATCATGCCCAGGAATGGAGTTCTGGGAAGTCCAAGAGCACGAAGTGGCCTACAGTTGGCTCCGGGCATCCAAAATGTGGCCCGGGAATGGAGTTCTGGGAACTCGAAGACCACGAAGTGGCCTACAGTTGGCTCCGGGCATCCAAAATGTACGCTAGGAATGGAGTTATGGGAACTCGAAGACCACGAAGTGGCCTACAGTTGGCTCTGGGCATCCAAAATGTACGACGGGAATGGAGTTCTAGCAGCGCCAAGAGCGATTTTGCGAGGATGTCCCAGGCGATTTGAGCTTCGACGGCAGCCGCCCCGGGTCCCGCCCCGACCCCCCTGAGGAGTCATGATGCTCTCTTTTGACCCCACTAAAAACCTATCAGTCTTCGCTGTTAGGTAAAAATGAAAAATACCCCAAAAAAGTAGTCAACAATTAATCTAAAAATAGTCCGGGGACTATTTTTGGAGTATTGTTCGACCTTTTCGGGGCATTTTTGGAGTATGATTCATTTTTCGTCGAAATCCTCCTGTAGGGGGACACGCCCGACCTAAACCCAGGGCCACTCTTTGCGCGTAGCCGAAGGATTGAGTAGGCATGCGTGGAGCTGACGCGTGGGCGCCAGGTCCACAGATCTGGGCAGGTCCCCCCGAACCACATGCGGCCAGTGCCGCCCGATTCGGCGACGGCTCGCACCGAGTCTGCTCGGACAGCGGGAGCCGTCGCTGATCCACGCATTGCTAACCCGTTTGTTTGCGATGTCTCAAAATCAGCCGAGCAGGTATGCAGCCGAGATAAGAGTGCTCGAAAGTCGTGGCCAGAAGCGTACAGTCGGGGCCCTGAAGAAGGAACCCTTTTTTCGTTGGGGAGGGGCTCCGCGTTCCTCGAGTGTTTCGCAGCTTGCCTCAGGCTTGCCACAGGTTTTCGACCGGAAATCGAAGGTTAACTTATGGAAAAGAGGGGTCTCGTTCCTTATTTAGGGTTCCTTAGGTCAACGCCCCGACTGTATGCAGCCGAGATAAGAGTGCTCGAAAGTCGTGGCCAGAAGCGTACGCAGTGTGACCGAACTTGTGACCGAACTGGACGATCGTTTCGGCTCCAAGCCAGAAGTTTCGGTCGCACGTTGGCGCAGTCGCGTTCGGGAGAATTCGGGTCCTTCGGTTTGGGGGGGATTCCGTCAGGTGCTTGCCGGATGTGGTCGACATTCGGAAGACACCTACACGAAATTTGGACGACATGCCAAAGAAGGGTGGTCGACATCTGGACGAAGTCTAGTCGAAATCACGTGTACGATAGGGCCGCAGAGGTTCGCAGAGATTCCCACGAAGGCTCACCTAGCAGGGGGAAGTGTCGAAGAAGAAACACATGCATAGCATAAAGCCTGGTCATGGCGCCCGAAGTCATGTGCCCGACTTCGTGACAGGAAACGTAGTGTGACCGAAACTGTAACCGAAATGGTAAATCGCTTCGGCTTCAAACCAAGAACTTCGAAAATTCGGGCGCCAGTATCGGTCCCACTCGGGCAGACTTTCGGAGCACCACACCTCCCTGACAGAGACGAGGCTGCGTGATCAGGGTCGACGAATAAAAAGCTGCATGCATGGTTTTTGTTATTCATTGCTTTGCCGTTCGGCGCCAGCCCTCGCACCCCCCCTTCCCCCCCCACGGAGTAGATCTTGGCTGTTTTTTGCGCCCGTTCCGAGCAGGCGGAGTCCCTGCCCCATAGGACGCACGCTTCCAAACAGTCGCACCAAGCAGGGGCCCGGAGCAAGACCCCCCCCCGCCCCCCCCTCTCTTCCGCCCAATTCGGGGGTGGGCAGGCCTCCTACCCTGACACGTCGATTAGCGAATTGGCCGTTTTTTCTTCGCGAGAGGGCGTCGCGGCCATCATCTTTGCGGGTCCAGGCCCGTCGGTTTCGGTCCCAGGCCGTTTTCACTAAGGGGAGGCTTCCTAAAGGGAGACTTGTCCACCGCCGACCCAATACAGGCGGCATGATTGGACCGGACGGCCACGATCCCTTGTCCTACGGCGCGCCTCTTCACCGCCCTCGCTCTATGATGCTCCCACCTGCTTTGGCTTTGCGCACCCGAAAGAATTTCGAGCACCAGGGAAGACGCCGAGGAAGAAGAAAAAGGAGGAGGGAGGAGGGAAGAGGGAAGAGCGAGGAGGAGGAGGGAGGAGGGAGGAGGGAGGAGCAGGGAGGGAGGGAGGAGGAGGGAGGGAGGGAGGGAGGGGGGAAGGGGAGGGAGGGAGGAGGAGGAGGAGGGGAGGGGAGGGAGGAGGAAGGGAGGGGAGGAGGAGGAGGAGGAGGAGGAGGAGGAGGGAGAGGAGGAGGAGGAGGAAGAAAACGCTCGCCGCAAAGCTGCGAAAAAGCGCTGCGCGGACTCCTCGGGCCTGCGCTGGGCCCCCCTTGGCCTGCGGCCCCCGGCGCCGCCGTGGGGGTTTCGCGCGCCAGGGCGCGGGAGGCCCGGCGCCGCTCCGGGAGTCATCGAGAAGAGGAGGAGGAGGAGGAGGAGGAGGACGAAGAAGAAGAGGAGGAGGAGGAGGAGGAGGGGATGCAGAGGGGAAGAGGGGGAGGGGGAGGGGGGTGGGGGGGGGGGGTCGA